GGGGGGGTAAAGCCCGGGGGGGGGGGGGGTCGGGGAAGGGGCGGGGCCGCGGAGGAGGAGGAGGAGGAGGAGCCGCGTGGAGCGGCCGCGGAGGAGTCCCGCCTGGAGGTTGGGAACCACTTTGGCGCCGCTCTCTAAACCAGGTTTGTGGGGAGGGCCCCCCCCCAATTCCCCGGGATTTCCCAGCCCAGCAACCCCGGTGCCTTGGGGGCAGCGCTGGTTCCTCGGCTCCTCTGGCTCCTCTTCGCCCGGCAGCAGCAGCAGCAGCCCTTGGGGGGGGGGGGGGCTCTGGGGCAGTTGGCATCCAGAGTTGTTGGAGGGCCAGGCCGAAGCTTCTTGCCCGCAGAGAGGCATGGCGCTGGAAAAGGGTCCCGCGGTCAGGGTGAGTTGGAATGTGGGGCCAGGAGGAAACCGGACTCTTCCCTGGAGGGAGGAGGGTTTCTTGTCGCCTCCGCCCTGCTCCTCCACCTCCGAGGGGGAAGGAGTCCCAGGGGAGGCAGATTCCCTGGGTCGGTTCCCCTTGGAAGAAGAAGGAGGAAGCCCTGATGGAGCCTTCTGGGGTCTCGGTGCTCTTTCATGACAGAGATCCTGGCAGAGCTGAGCAAGGGAGTGAAGCCACAGGGATTCCCCCAGAGGACCAGTTTCCCTGCCCCACCTCAGAGGCCCAGAGGGAGCGTTTCTGCGGCTCTGAGTCCTTCAGCCAGATCTCCGCCTGCCTTCTATCCATCCTGATCTTAGCTGCTCCTTTTTCACACGGACACTTTCCTTCCCCTTCTCCTGGGCTGGGTTCTCAGACAAGGTTCTTGGCCAACACCTCAGGCCTGTCGGAGAGACGCCTACAAAGGTCAAGGGCTCACTGGCCCTTTTGGGGTTTCCCTGAAGAATTAGCCCCAAAGACAGACTGAGCCAATGTGATGAGAGGCATAGCTTGTGAACATCCTTAAAGAGCCCAACAGAGACCCTTAACGTTCCCAAAGGACCATGGTGGCATATCTGAAACAGCTTGTTTTGTGATATAGAAAAATGATATTGAACCTGGTATACCAACCCTTTTCTCCTGATCCACCAGGTGTGTCTCCTGAGCATGTGAAGGTTTGTGATGCTCAGGGATGTCTGTCAATTCTCTTTGCTCTCCCATGTGACTGTCTGTCTCTCTCCTCCTCCCGCCCCCCCAGAGTGAAGCCCCTCTTCATAGCCAAGTGACTGACGGCAACTTACAGAGGCATCACCCACAGACCCAAGAGAAGGGGAGAGAGAGATGGAAGAGCAGAACCCAGAAGGACCTGGAACAGTCAGGACAGCAAGGAAAGGCCCCCATCCCACCCCAGCTGGGAGTGGTGCTGAATTCTGGGAAGGCCCGGTGCCAGAGATCCGTTCTCAGCTCACTGCAGTCCCAGATGTGCATTGCCGACGCTTCCAGCAGTTCTGCTACTGTGAGTCCGATGGGCCCCGAGACGTCTGCAGCCAGCTCCATGGACTTTGCAGCCACTGGCTGGAGCCGGAGAGGCACACCAAGAAGCAGATCCTGGAGCAGTTCCTGACTCTCCTGCCCCAGGAAATGCAGGGCTGGGTCAGAGGGTGTAGGCCGGAGACCAGTTCCCAGGCGGTGGCCCTGGCCGAAGGTTTCCTCCTGAGTCAGGCAGAGGAGAAGTGGCAGGCAGAACAGGTGAGGGGATTCCCTCCAGGTATCTCCAATTCAAGCAACGGTACCTGGCCTTCTCCTACAGGCTCCCTGCCAGACATGTGACCAGGTGTTAATCGTCCCAATGGGAGGTTTAAGGGCCTCCTTCAGAAGCCTCTTCTACGAGAGAATTTCTTATTCCTCCAGAGAACTCACCAGGTCTGCTGATGGAAGGATGCAGAGTCTGGGAGTGGGGCAGGATCCGTTCCTTGGTCTCGTCTCCATTCCGTCTCTTACTCCTCTCCCTCACTGTTTTTTTAGATGTGGGCACCATCCCTGAAGACAGGAGCAACATCCCCTGAGGTGGAAGGAGCTTCCTTGGAGCAAGGGCAGAGGGCGCAGGCCATGGAGCGTGCCCAAGATGCCCTCTCCGGAGGTAAGGAGGACTCATTGTGCCTGGGTGTGATTGGGGCACCCCTGTGAGTTTGATGGGTAGAGAGTCCAGGTCAGGAAAAGAACTAAAGACTTCTTCACACAACACAGAGTTAATTTGCGGCACTCCATGTCCACTAAAAGGAGATTATTCTTCCCATTAACTTAAATATTCATATCTCACCTTCCTTCCTTCCTTCCATAAGAGGAACTCCAGGTGCCTCAAAAGAGAGAAGGCAAAGAGACCTCGGCAGAGCTATTCAACCTGGGGAATGAAGGGAGCCTCCACCTTCTGGGGCAGGAGAGAAAACCAGTTTCTGGGGCCCAAGAATAATTGAAAAATTTGTTTTCTGTCCCCAAACGTCTAAGGACATCTGGTGGGCTGCTGTGGGAAATAGGATGCTGGAGTAGGGATGGCAGGCGATGCCCACCACCTGGGAGCTTTCGTGAGGGGCTTTGGGCAGATGTGGTCTCAGGTTGGTTGTAGGGATGGCAGGCGATGCCCCCCACCCGGGAGCTTTTGGGAGGGCCTTTGTGAGGGCCTTCGGGGAGATGTGGTGTGAGGTTGGTGTTTTGACTTGCTGAAAACCCGGTTGTGAAGTTAGCATGCCAAGAGACACTCTGAAAACTTACCCTCGCATCTCCAGATGTGCTCAAGTCACTTCTGGGCTGAATGTGACGGTGACATGTATGAAGAAAAGTTTTTTCCCACCTTTGGGCAGAGAACAGACGGGCAGGGAAAGGGAAAGGCAGTGCAATGTCCTTCTGGCTTATTTTCATACAAATTGGTTTGATATGATTGCTAAGCAAATGCTAAAGATCTAGCAGGAAAGATAATGGGTGGGTCAAATTCACCCCCCTTCTGCAAGCAGGGAACAGAGTACTGGAGGTGTGAAATGATAGAGTGACTTTAGGAAGGGGATTCCTGGAGATCTCTGGGAAACACCTCTTTCACCTGTCCTGGCCAGGTAAGGGGGAGGAGAAACAGATGAGAAGAACTCCTTGCGGCAGGAAGGCAGGCTCTTTTCCTGGGGTGCAGAGTCCATGAACACATGCAGACCTCTCCAAGGGGAAGGCAGCCATTTACCATGTCCTTGACAAAACAGGTGGAGCAAACTTCAAAGTAGTGGGAACTCTGTAGAGATCTAGAACCCCTGAGCTAAAGAGCCTCTCCTATTTTAACATCTGGTAGGGCATGTACAGAGAAAGGGACAGAGGGTTTGCGTTTTACCTATTTCTTTTGATTCCCTTGGTCAGTTTGGTGCTCTGCTAAAAGTATGCTTGTGGGTGTTTTATTTTTAATAAATACTTTATAGCTTTTAATGCTGGCCGTGCTTCTGTGTACAACAGAGAGCTCCACCGTCTTGGACAGGCATTTTTATAAGGAACGCCGGGGGAAGGTGGGCTTCTTTTGATTCCCTTGGTCAGTTTGGTGCTCTGCTAAAAGTATGCTTGTGGGCATTTTATTTTTAATAAATACTTTATAACTTTTTATGCTGGGCATGCTTCTGTGTACCACATAGAGCTCCAGTGTCTTGGACAGGCTTTTTTATAAGGAGCGCTGGGGGAAGGAAGGAAGTTGGCAAGTGATTATTCCTCCAGGGGGGCGCAAAAGGCAGGAAAGTGTCCCGATGGTGACCAGGCGCCGGTCAGCAGGAGACACAGAGGCAAGGCCTCAGAGCTTGGAAGGGAAACGGGGACTCGCAGTGTTCCCTCTAAGCTGAGTTAGTGGGAGCCTGCTCACAGTTGTTTAGCCTCCGGCTCACACATTGTCTGTCTTCGCTCGGGAAGGAGGGCTCCAGAAGAGCAATCTGATTTATGCAGCAGCCCAATCCTTCACTCACAGCTTTAATGCCAGCAGCTCATAAAGTAGAATCTTTGTTCACAAGACTCCACAGCTTCGAAGGAGCATTGGCAGGGAGTCCGGACCAATTCCTTATAGGGAGACCAATTCCTTCCAAGGAGAGAAAGAGAAAAGCGTCTCCAGGGAGGTGGGAACCCATTGGAGGGCAGGGTTCGATAGGCCCCGCAGGCTGGAGCAGACCCCCTTCTGCCACAACGTGTCATGCGCGGTGTCATTTCCACCCCCCTCTTTCCCTCCCCCCGGCCAGAAA